GTGCTTTAACCCACTGAACCACCAGAGAGGGCCCACTACCACAATTTATAGATCAAATCTCACTGCCAATCATAGCTGCTAAACTCCTAAGGAAAAAAAAAAGAAAAGAAAAAGAAAATGGAACCCAGCAATATATAAAAAGATGGCGTAACACCGCAAAGAAGGGCTTATCCACAAAAGAGAAGACAGATTGAATTTGAGAATCAATCTCATGAATACACCACCTAATAAAACAGAAAGGAACAAAAATCTCAGTGAATGAAGAAAGTCTGACAAAACTAACGTTCATGATAAAAACAAACTTAGCAAATTCAGAATCAAAGGAAACTTCCTCAGCCTGATAGAGCAGCTTTACAAAAAATCCATAGCAAATATCACTCTTGAGGGTAAAATGCTGAAAGCGTCTCTCTGAGCTCATGTGTAAGAAAAGAATAGTCACAGACTCCAATTCTGTTTAACTTTGTACTGGAGCTACCAGCAGCACAAGCCAAGGAGAAAAAGTAAACTACATAAGGACTGGAAAATAAGATAGAAAAAAATTTCCCTAGATGACATTTATGTGCTAGAAAATCCATAATCTTCAGATAAAAATTAAGATAATGAACTGACCAAGATTAATCAAAAAGAGTGTAATGTAAGAAAATTGATTTTACTTCTTTATCCCAGTGATATGTAGAAAATAAAATCTAAAAGAAAGTTTATAATAAATCAAGTGCCTGGGATATATCTCACAAAAATATGTCAAACTTCTACACATAAAGATCTAAAATAATATTGAAATAAAGATAACATGACTATATGGAGGAATATACATGTAAAAGAAAATTGAAATTTTATCACAGTGCCAAGTCTTTCCCAATTAATGCAATCCTTATGAAGTTCTCAAAAGTGGTGTGTTTGCACACAAGTGTGCAGAGTGTGTCTGTGCTGGGCAGAGATGTATACCAAATACTCTTGTAAACATGAACAGATTTTCCCTCCCAGCAACCACGTCAGTTTACTTGCACATTTTTCATCCAGCAACCCACAGCTTCAGTATAAAGTATTACTCTGTTTTTCTTTTTAAACTTAGACGCAGGGGGCCAACATCAAAGCAATTTGCCAAAATAATACTTCCAGTATTAATATGCATGAAATCATTTAATTTTTCCAAAGTTGTTATAAAGCAGGAATTACTACTATTGCCATTCTACAGAGCAGAACTAATGAGGCACAACAGATAAATAACTGGCCCCAAGTCACTAAAGCCCAGGGCAAGTGGCAGAACTGGGATCTGGAACCAGAAAGTCCGGTTAAGACCCCAACTCACAGCCTCGAGATTAGACACTTCAGTAAATGTTAGCAGGAGTATTTTCCTTAATTTCACCACTCGTATATTGTGGATAGGACTGGGGACTTACTTAGAAGACACTGTCTAGTAACCCTCTGACACTCAAATCGTACCCACCTTCTCATCATTTATCTCGGAATATCCTGCAGTATGTGCACTTTCACAGAACACCCAAGGCTCAAAAGCCCCAGTATATCAAAGCTCTCCATCTCAAAATAAAATCATGTATTAAACATTTTCAGACTTCCCCAGTTTCCTAACCAGGAGTCCCCAAATCCCAAGAAAGAAACCCTTGACTCTGGCAACAAGGAGATAAATAAGCCAAATGTTCATTTTAATCAAAGCAATTCAATAAAACCCTTATTCTTTCAGCCATCAGTTTCACGGACATGCTTCAGAATATAATTTTCAAAATTGGAAACGCAAACCAAAGTGGCCTGACCACATCTGAGGAGGGGGACACCCGATTCCTTCCCCAGCTGTTTGACCTTTGCATCAGTAGGCTCCTCATTCTCTTCATTTCCCAAATCTGGTTGAATGAAGCCCTATGACTCATCTTCCCGTGGAAACAGACCCAGCTGATCATGAGGCCCCGTGGATTACTCTCCCAGGCTGACGCCAGTAGTGTCCCCCTTCTTACCAGCACAGTTTGTATGGGAGCTTGTGAGCTCCCCACCCACCTGGCCTCACCCCTATTTGGTCATTCTGCCCTAACTTCTTTGTCCCTTTCAATGTTTCTCCCTGAAATTAAACACAAGATGCAAACATCTGTCATTCCCCGAGTCCTTGCTATGACTCAAACTCACTTCACCTGTTCTCTCATCTCCGTCACTTAGTAATTCTCCAGATCACTTAGTAATTCTGCCCATGAATGTGACCTCCACACTTACTCTGGGACATTTGCAGGGATGATGCCCCTGACTCAGATGTTCCTGAATCTCATGATCTCCTCCGAGGAGATCCCTAACTACTCGAGGACATAGGTGGTGGCCCCAGCTTCCATGACAACAGGACAGGTAACGTGCATTGCTCTTCTGACCCATCCTGCCTGCTGTCAGGAATAACATAAAGCTACACGTTACGTAAATGCTTCAGCCATATCTCCGTGTACATGTGATACTTGTGTAATGGTACGAGAGGATGACCGGAGCTAGGAGAGAAGAGCAGTAGCATCAACGTGAGTGATGGGAGAAAAGATCCTTTCAAGAACTGAGAGGGAGAGTGAAAGTTGAAACATTTTGGGCAGGTCAATATTTGTCTTATTAACAATTGCACTTTCAGAATTATGCTCCATAGCAAAATTAGTGTAAATATGCCTCATGGCTATGTGCGGATGTCCACTGCCTCATGGATGATAAAAGAAGAAAAAGGTAGATGGCATCTTACATTTCTATCAATAAAAAAATCATTAAATAAAAATAATGAAAAGAAATACAGGTCATCCCATATAAATGTTCTCCATTGGGGTTCTCCTTCTCGGTAACTGGGGGCCTCACCGTGAGAGTTTTATGCAAGTCTATTTATTTGCTCTTCCCAAAAACTGAGTGAAAGTTTTCCTTCAGCAGAGAATCACAATAGAATTCCAGCAGAATTACACATGCCATCCCATTTGAATGCCCAGCAGGAGTTTAAGGTCACTGTCGCCATGAATGGCCAGAGAATGAATAGGAACTGAGCCTCTGAGCGGCCCTGTGTGGCAGCTGGGAAGAACAGTGCCCTGTTCATGGCTGAAAATGCGTCTCACATGTGGCCCCACAGCTGCACTGGGCACGGCCACCCCTTAAAGCCCTGTAGAGCGGGGGCCTGTTAAGTTGCTCTGTCCTCTTCTTTCATCGCACAAAGTTCCTGGATGATTATCAACTACACAACAGCCACATTTGTCCTCTAGAGATGTTCAAGCACATACAGTGTTAGTAATGACACAGCCTTCCTTCCCGGTCTCGCCCCCACTCCACATCCTCTCACCCCCTTGACACCACACATCACTCACTCCATCTTCTCATTGACATTTCCATCCACTCGAGGTCTTGCCTGGTCAGCCTCAGCAACAAACACTGCCACCACCAACCTCTACCACAGCCCCTACCTCTCTCTAGAGCCGGCAGTCTTGGGCTCCGAGTCCAGACAAGAGGGGTCCTGCCAACTGAGACTCCTATTTATTGTTCTATGTCCAGCTATTGCCTTCCATTCCAGAAATTCTGAGAAGCTGCTGCTTCTTCAATTTTCCTCTGTGTCTCTCCCTCCAACCCAATTCTAGGCCAGTCAGACCTCTCCTCACATCCTGTCTAACTTCTACACAGCATCAATGGCACTGAATTCTGTCTTACTATCATTCTTCTCCCTCACTGCAAAATAGATCACTAGAGGTAATGACAAGATAATACAGTGGGAAGTCAGGCTCAAAACCAAGTTGTCTAGTTCATTTTCTCTGCGATCTTGGACAATGATCTAATTACCCTGTGCTTCAATTTCCTCATCTGCAAAATGGGAACACTAGCAATCCTTGCTCCACAGAATTACTGAAGTCACTTATCTTTTAACTAATTCCTTGAAGAAGAAATAACATGCAACGGGCTTAGAACAGTCTGGCTGGAGCAGGACAAGAGCTGATGTTGCTGTTTTCCATGCTACAGTTATTTTTACTCATTGTTAGATCATGTCCTTGCCTAGACTCAGTAACAGGCTGTTGAATAAATGAATGAAGAAATGCCCTTCCCAACCCCTCACTATTTTCTATTATAACTATGCTTTTGTTAAACAATCTTAAATTGAATCAGATTTTAGTTACCAATTAATTGGATACCAAAAGGAATAAGTTTCTAAGCATTTGTATTGAAAAACAAAAAACTTTACTGATCTTTAAGTTTTCTTCCATTAATACATGGACAGTGGGAGTAAACATGTGTAAATGTGGTAAAAACTCACAAACAAAACGAATTACAGAAAGTTTTTCTGTACCTGACTGCCATTAGAAAATGTAGCCCTCCTGCTCTGAGAGAGTGCGGAACTATGGGTGGGTTGCAACATGTTACTATAAACAAGATTTCATGGGAACGCAGACCTGTTCATTGACATATCAGCTATGGGAGCTTTGACCTCACTACCTTGTGAAGAGACCACATAACCCACAGAGTTGAAAATACTTACACTGTGGCCCTTTACATAAAGAGCTTGTTGCCCTGTATTCTAAGGCATCCACATACATGAGGACTTAACAACTCCGTGTCTATGAAGCTGCTGGATAATAACCATTTTTTGGGAATTAACAAAAGCTACATTGCAGTCACTTACTGTACTGATTCAGAGGAGAATAAACCTCCTTTAGAACATATTTGCTTCCCTTTTAATTTCTGAATAGTATATTCTATTTTTTCAAATCTGTGATTCATTATCCAAGCCAGGATATGGTTGAGGGTGGAAGGGGGTGCTATTAATAATTCTATGGGTATGACTGGTTTAATGGGGCCATAGGGTCACTCAGATCTGAGGCACTATCACCTGTGAGAGGACAAGCCGAAGACCAAACCCACAAAGTTCATAGGCTTGTCCCATGCCACGGCTCTCGCTTCTGTCTGTGTCTTCCGGTCCCACTGTGCCCACCCAGCCCTCTACCCTGCAGGTCTGGTGGCCAGCGGCTCTCCTGATCCCAAGAGGCAAATGCAGAACTTACTTTTTAATTCTTTCTCCAAAAGAAGCGACTTCCTCCAAGATGTTTTGAACAGTTGACACAATATCCTGCACCATGTATATCCTTTCAATGAACCCCTTCTTCTCAGACTCCTAAAAAACAGAATTGCAAGATTTAACCCAGTTACTTCATGTTTATTGCCATGCTGTAGAAGTGGTGGTCCTTGCCATGCAGCCATGATCATTACCAACAAGAGATGCAGAAAGAGTGTTTGTTCACCACTTAAATCTTTTTATTGCCTCCAAAGAGCATCTGCACAGCCATTCAGATGAGCCCACTGAGAGTTCAACAACACAGTTGTTGCCCCATGGTCATCCCAGCTGAGGCACGGACCACTGGTGGGAGGCCAAGTCTGAAGCCAAACCCACAAAGCTTGGAGTCCTAAGGACTGGAAGCCCCAAGCCCAGGAGCTTCTCCCTTGGAGTGGCTGTTCCTGCCAGACAACTTTGCAGCCCCGCGGATTGGCCGACACCAACATCCGTGAGGTCTCCCCAGTTTATCTGCTCATCTCTTCTCTCCCTTCACCTCAGAACTGACTCCAGTAGGTGAGTGGAGGATGTGTTGGAAAAGGAGATCATGTGTTTCCTAGGGCTGTGGTCTCTTACTCAAACCCTGCTTCCTTTTTTAAACCCACTGCAGATCTGAGGGGCATGCCAGCCAGCCTCGGAAGCAAAGCCAGCAGCTGAAGACTAGCTACGGAATCCCCCTCTCACACTGCTGGAGACCTAGGAGATGCTCAACAACTGTTTTTTCCTTCATGGGACTGAAAGCAGATACAGTCTTCAGTTCTTCATGCAAAATGGAACTCAGCTTTCTAATATATTATCCTTATTCTTATTTGCCTTATTGAAATATCAAGTGTGTTTTAACAGATAGGTAGCTAATGAGTATATAAATAATTTACAAATTACTCTGATGTGAGAGGAAAGAAGATTCCAGAAAGAGTATTTTTACACATTTTTGTACTCTGAAATAATATCCCAGCTCCCTTAGAACTTCATGGAACTGGGGTTTGGCAATTGTACAGCTCACATAGGGAACCCAAAACCTCAAGACTTTATTTCCTTTCTAGAATTTTACCTGGGTTGGAGCCATATTAAATTATTCAGCAAATGGTTTTAAATTGAGGCCATTTCTAGAATAACTTTCTGTGTAGCAAAAGAAAACCAATATTGCATTCTCATGCTATCCGTCCCATCCAGTTAGGCACTGAGAGGCACAAAGGATCCCCATCAGCCTGCAGTGACTGCTGGTACAGGCACTGAGGGCAGAAACCTCCAGACGCCCTCACTTTCTGCTTGCTCCTGCTTATGGAGCTACTCTCCAGAGAGGGGCAGAGGTCCCCCTGACACCCGTGCTTTTTATGGGGTGCTTTCAGGACTTCTTACCATCTGGTCTGTACCCCTCTCTGCAGCTTCTCGAGATACATATCTCCTCTTGTAGTGTCAAGCTTGCAAGATACATTCCTTTCTTCACCCTAATTTTTAATTTCATATTTCCTCTGCTCTTTCACTAATTCTAATTCTCCACACAGTCTGCGATAAAGATCAGACCCTGCCTGAGAGCTCATCGTGTCTCTCCGTGGAAGGACAGTGTTTACAGCGATGGTTGAATGCACTGGGTCATCTTACCCAAAGGGCAAACGTGGGTTCCTCTTTTCAGCAGCAGAGATTTTAAGTCAAAACAGTTTCTTTGGAGAATGATTCAAATGTCTACGTGGCTTAATTCCATAAAACTTTCTCACTTCAGGTGACTGAGACTTTTCCCCCATAGGGTGAGGATCTGAGTGTAAGTAAGCACCCATTAATTTAGCAAAATTAGTAATGATTGTCATAACATCCATTTACTTTTTAATGAATTTGATATCTGATTTGAGTAGTCAACATTCAAAGAATAGAATAAGGATTCCCACAATATCTAGGGTATTTTATCAACCAAATCTATACACTTCTAAGATTAAAAGCGATCAAGTAATTCAATTTGGGAAATACTCATCAACTGACAACTTTGATGAAATTGGTAGAGCTAAAGAATGGTTTCACTTTATATAATTTCATAAATACATTGTTTCAAAATCTATAATAGGCTTTATGTTAATTAGACCATAAGTAACTTATTTATATGATCTTTATATTTACACATTTATATATACAGGTGTATATATACACTTATATATATATATATAGTTGGTCTCATAGTTATATCTACTTATAATCTCACCTCAGGATTACATTTCAAAAGTATCTATTTCTAATGTCATCTTTTTTATTTATAATATTTCATAAAAGTGTCCTTAATCTTCTTCATTGCTACACTTAGTAGACATTAAATTGATACTGACTTTGCTGTAGATAACTATTGGAACTAGGGAGGAAATACTCTCTGTATGCACTGAGGTAACTTGAAAATTCACAAGGAAAATGTGATAAATGGAGAAGATCCTCAATTCTATTCTTTAAATAGTGTCATCTGTATATATTTCAGACTAAATATTTCCAAAGTACTATACTCTGTATCCATTCACATAAACTTTCTGCCAAACATTTTTTCAAGACAAAATTTCAAATAGATTGTTGCTATGAATCTTTAGAATGTTCAACAGAACTGATACTGAAAAATGAATGGCTCTCAAATACCTTTCCATTCCAGATCAGATTATATAGGCATCCTATTAAAATTCAAAATGTATTTCCTACAAATTGAGATAGTTCAAAGTACAACTTCAGAATTTGAACATTGACTCATGTACAGCATATGACCTGATATATATACGCTGTGCAAATATCCTTTGCCTTTGTAGAAAGAAACAATTCAACATCTTCTTTTGCCAGATTTTTAAAAACTCACTCCCATTCTCTAGCTACTTCCAAAGATGAAGTTACTTAGCAGCCATCCAAGATTTTGGTTAAAAATGTACAATTGATTTGCCAAAATGCCACACAAACTAAAAGATTTTTCCTTTTTCACAAGAGTGCAATAGTTTTGGGGAAAAGGTTCACTGGGAATTCTTCAAAGATTCAAACATGCCTGAAAGAAGCCTGAGGAGAGATAAGGTGGGTACAGATGCCAAGCTGAGGTCTATGTCTACATCTGACAAAACGTGGTTGTTTATATTCCACAAAATTGTGTTGTTGCTACTGTGGACTCAGCCTTCCCGAAAAAATCCAGAGAAGTTTTCCCCAAGATGTCCAAGCAGGCTGTCCCCGACACGTGTCACCATTGTGTGTAGAACCTACATCAATCAAGCATCCTCAGGAGAAGCTGCTACCATAATTTTAAAAATACAGATCACCCAGATTTAGGGACAGTTCCAAAAATAACTGTTTCAATCAAGAATCCTAACTCAAGACAGAGCAAACACTTAGAGGCAGGGTGTGTCTTGAGGGCATCGACTCCTGCTTCTGTGAGACCCTCTCTCTTCCTGGTGCTCCAGGTGCCTGCTCCACTCCTCAGCTTGGGATATAAATCCCCAGTGTGTCCCATTTCCATTAGGATTTACAGCCATGTAAAGTCTCCATAGATATATAATTAAATGTGTTTTCTTCTCCTGCTAATCTGTCTGATGATCACTTGTCTGCACGCTAGCTGGAGAAGGATCCAGAGGAATGGAGGATTATCCCCCTGCACCCCAACACTTCCCAACTGTGTGTGTGTGTATTATATAGAAAATATAATATATGTGGGTGTGGCTGCTTATAGTTCAATTAGCGAAGCATCTGATTGCAATTGTAGAGAATCGAGACACCCCAGTCAATCCCAAGTACATTTCTGCCTCATAGATGCCTTTATTTTTTTAATACTTTATAAGCCTGTAGCCATGCTCCATCAACATTTGCATTCACATCATCACTACAAAATTAAATAACTATCAACGCTAACTGTTTAAACTATATCAACGGTGACTCTCCTGATGTCTGGGATTGCATTTTTGAAATTAACTTGCAAAAGCTTTTGTTTGATTCCATATATTAGATCAAAAACTCAAGTCCATTTCAGAGTTAACTTATTAATTTACTTGCAGTGACATTTTACCTAATTTTCATGCAAATCCAAAAGTATGTCTTGTGAAAATATTTGGGGAGAAACTTTTTTTTCTGGTTTTATTTAATACATTGTACAAAAATAAAGGATGAGGGAATGAATATATTTGCACAAATAAATAAACGCAAAAAAAAAAAAAAGCCAGCATCATCAGAATTTACACCAACCGATGAAAAATTAGGGAAAGTAAGGCCTTCATGGGCACCAGCCGCACACACCTAACCATTTCACACCTGGGCTGCAGAGTCAGACCCTGGAGAAGCCACTCTGCCCAGAGCTCTCCTGAACACTTCGCAGCCCCCATTTTGCTATCAAGAAAAGAGAGATCTCACACCTTACCCTGATCAGAATGTTTGGAGAATCAAATATTATAGCAAATGGAAAATTAGAGGAACATTTTAAGTGCTTCATAAAAATGAGCCCTTTCTTGAGAATGCAAAGAGATAAAGAAAGGATAGTCTGTTCTCTAGTTGAAGGATAACTGGAGTTTAGTAAAGTTTGGAAGGAAAGGGCCTCCTGGACAAGTCTGCTCAAGTCGCCCAGGCTGCAGGAGAGATCATCTGGCAGTTCTCTCTGCATCATGCTGACTTTATTTACACGTTGCAGATTGAACCAGGGAATGTGGTGATAACACAGTTTAGCAAACACGTTACATCTGCCGTGCAGCCAAATTGCTTAAGAAGAGTAACAGTGACTCATTCGAAAGACCCAGTCGCCATCACACTTACTTTCATTTTCACTTAACATATGAGGCTCCCAATTTATAAAGGGAACTGTGTAATAAAAATAGTGCTGGCCACTGGTGTGGCTAAATACATAAACAGGATCATGGTGGCTGAACCCTTATTTTTAGATGCCTCCATTTGAGGAAGACTGGATCGGACTTCTCACAACAAAACTTAAAAAAAAAAATGAAATAAGTAAAATTCACATGAATTAGGGTCTAGTTGGTGAGCAAATCTATATTGCCATTAATTGAAAAGATGAAATTAGGGAAATTTCCAGGCCCAAAATCCAAGTTTCATAAGGATCCTTTGCTCTGTTATTTGCT